CGCCTTCAAATACCACTGCTGTCCAGTGGTTGTGATCGAGGGGCTTCTCCAGCCAATCATCATTAGATACATCCATTCTCTTCTGCTGATGTGACTATTACTTCTGAAGAGGGTGGATGTCTGGTGTTTCAGGTTTGACCATTCTGCCTTGGCTGAACCTGCTGGGAGATCAAACTAGTCAAACAGTTTTGACCTTCTGGTGGCACTGCTCTTGGTCCTTCTGCCATTCTCAAAGTGTCTCATGACATTAAAGTGTTTACCTAAGAGGGGAATACCTCTACTACAGGCCAGTAAATGAGAATTCAGTTTTTTAAAAAGAAATGTATATCTCACAATATGCTTCTAACCCAGAACCAAAGCATCTATTAAAATAAAGCAATTCTGCTTGTGTTTAAATTCAGAAATGTCAGAATGTATAGTTACTATCACTGTTTTTTCATGCTACATCATTCCCTCAGCTCAAAAACCATACCCTTAAATCCCAAGTATATATGCATCATGTATTATAAAGCATAATTTAGAAGACATTAGGTCAATGTGTCTGGGCTATAGGATAAGCTGCAGAAACCTTTCCACAAACCTTTTTTTACTAAGGTGCTTCAAGATGTAGGGCAGGTGAAAAGTCACCATTAGTGGATTTTCCACTGGCAAAAGCCCCAAAACAAGGCCTTTAAGGGGTGGGAAAGGTCTGTTTAATTTATCCCCATTGCTATCAAAAGCCCCCAAAACAAGGTATTTCAGGGGTAGGAAGAAATCTAAGTGCAAAAAAATATTAGATGTAACCCTAATTGTATAAAACTACTAGAACATTTCCCATAGTACTGAAAATAAATCTGACCATTTTTAATGCCACACAGATAATCATTTAGATAAGGACTTTGCTTTCAGTGCCCAATGTTCTGTGGAATTCTGTTGTATTTGTAAGAAACTATGGACTATTTTTTGAGGTATACTAATATTCTATAGCTTACCTGTAAGACTTTAGCAACTTAGAATTAATATTATACCTGACAATTGGCACACAGACTGCAAAAAGTATGGCAATGTTTTAATTAGGTAGAATTATCCATGAGAAAATACAGTAATCTGCAACACTTCACTAACTTAGTTGTTTATGCTCACACTTTCTAAAAGGTGCCATGAGAATAGAAATTTTCAACTGTATTAACTTTTATTAATTTATCGATTTATATCCTGCCTTTTTCCTACAAAGGGCTCAAGGCAGCTTACATCATTCTCCTCCTCCATCTTATCCCCACAACAACAACCCTGTGAGGTAGGTGGGGCTGAGAGTCTGTGACTGGCCCAAAGTCACCCAGTTGGCTCCATGGCTAAGCGGGGACTAGAACCCAGATCATCTGAGTACCAGTCCCATGCTCTTAACCACTACGCCACACTGGCTCTTTAGCCACTGGCACTGGCTCTGTGCCCAACCCTTTTGAGTATATGGGCACATCTGGCATTTTGATATTACCTTAGATATCACAGCAAATTAGCTGTTGTAGGAGTGTGGAAGGCCAATCACAAAAATGCTTGGAGAATGCACATGATCTGTGTTTGTATGTGCATGCATGTTCATCCTGTTTGCTACCCACTTTGGCTTCTCTGTCTGCGGCTTTTCTCTCCTGCCTGCCTCCCTCTGGTTCATCATTCCATCTCTCTGGCTTTCTTTCTATCTTCCCTTCCTATTAAAGCCAATGGTGCAATTCATCCACTGGTTTTAACAGAAAGCAGAAATGACTGAGTTGGACACAAAGGTCACTCCCCCAGGATATCCTGTTTTCTCAAAGGCCCTTGGTGTGAGGGTGTGGACTCTGCCTTCTCAAACATTCTTCCGTGGGGGGAACTTTTCCTCTGCTTATTAAGTAATGGAGCAATTTCACTGGAAAGGAAAAGTCTTTCTACTAAAAAAATTATCTAGAAAGGGTTAAGGTCATCCCCTGTCAAGAAGGTGGTTGCCCCAAGCTTGCTTTCCCAGTCAGTTTTCAGCAAGGAGGCTTTTTGCCTTTGTGCAAGTAACTGGAGAAATTGATGCATATACTTGGTAGAAATAGCTTGGGAGGTACATCAATATGGTCTGCTGAGCACAACTGCACCCATGGGATCTGTGTTGCAGTCCCCTGCTGTAACACTTATGTCTGCTCAAAACCAATGAGAGTTCTGGATTTCCAAGCCAAACATCTCATAAGGTGGACATTCTAGAATAAAATTTCAAAGACAGATATTAATATGTAATTGCTGAAGTACAATTAATCCAAATTCAAATCAATTTTTAAAAATCACACTATACATAAATCAGCTTACCACTGCAATGATGTCTGTTTTTACCCAACAATGTTCTGAGAATGGCAACTGTTAGGACAATCATCACTGCCTGTACTTTTTGCATTTCAATTTACTATCAACACCATATGTATCAATCTCCCTGTCACTGCCAAGTACATAAATCTACCAATCTGAGGTAAATACTTCACCCATCTGATGACATACACACAAAAATAAATTTGTTAGTCTTTAACAAAAATAAATTTGCTGACCCTCTAGAAAATAGCAGTTCATCTATATTTTCTACCAATACATTGTTTCTAAGCAGTTTCCTGTCTAGAAACCAATATGGGCACCTTGTGCATACAATGTTGTCGTGTTCTAGATAGGCCTGGATTCCTGAATTTATTTGAGATTTAAAGATTTGTTCATACAGCAAGATTCTTTTTCAGAAATATATCTTCCAGGAGAGGGGAATAATAATACTGGTCATGTCATGTATCTTGCTAAACGTACCTGAACTGGAAATCCCTGACTTTCTCCAGCCACATACCATTTCTTTATATTTTTATACCACCAATATCTGAAGCTGTCTTGGCAGTTCACAACTATTACAAACATTTCAATCAGAACAGATACTCTAAACTGCCTTTTTTCTCCAGGTATGCCTTTCATGTACAAAAGTTCGGTGTCTGTCCAAAATCTAATTGTGCATGTCAACTGAATCAGTACAACAACACAGTGGCAAGAACCTTCAGCTTCTACATAGGAAGTAACTATGTGGCACTGTCTCCTAGTTGCACTATAGAAATAGTTCAGCAGGACTGGCAGCTTTATGCTGCTGCAGCTCTTCCTGCAGCTCATAGAAATATGATAAAATTCTGAAAAAATAAGCATGCACATGTAACAAAACTTTTAGCACCACTATTTGCAGAGAAGAGTCTGAATGTAATTTGGAAAGTGTAATAGTAGATGCTTCCATACCAAACTAGTTGGCAGTCATTGTGTAAAAAGGAGAGTTAATGATGCAGCAAGAAAACACAAGGAGGAAAGAACATATTTCTGAAGAACATCTCAAAATCCATTCATGAAACTGGAGTAGGAGTTTAAGAGGAGCAATGTCACACTCCACTTTCTATTAAGAACTAGACTAGTTACCAAACCAGAGGTCCTTTAGTGTCTACAAGAATTTAGCATATTGCATTGACTGAATGGCAACAAAGAAATTGGACAAGGCTTGTTACCCTGGTAACCAATTCAGATTTTCAGGTTAAAAATGGACAGATTTTACACAGCTAGAATTTAACTCTTCTTCAAAGCCACACACTAACATTACTTTTTTAACATGATAAATCTGCTCCATCTTAATTATAACAAATATTATATGAAAACCAGTGTGATGTAGCTGTTAGTGTTGGGCTGGGACTTGGGAGATCCAGGTTCTAATTTCTTTCTTAGCTATAGGGTGACTTCGAGTTAGTTGTTGGCTCTCAGTATAACCTACTTCAGTGATCAGGACCACTGTGTAAGCCACCCTATGTTCTTTGCAAGATGGAAAACAGTGGAATATAGATGTAGCTATATAGTCAAAGATTATACAGCCACTAGCCAGAAACCAGAATAGAAAAAAATAAAGAGATTCTACCAGTAGAAAAATAATAGGTCCCTGTGTGAATATTTATATTGAACATAAAGTTAAATGAACTTTAAACCTACTGAAAATAAACCTTCAGAGTGCTCAACTGTGCTGGATTTCAGCCTTTATATACAAATGCCATACATTTTAAAGTACCACATACTGCAATACTGTATTAAAGTATTTCACGTACATTATTTCTCAGTGATAAAAATTACACTACTTACTTATGAGCTCTCAACTGACAGCAAGTGTAGCATGGTGGTTAGAGTATTTGACTGGGTGACTCTGGGCCAGTCACAGACTCTCAGCCTATCCTACCTCAAAGGGGTGATGTTGTGAGGAGTGGCCAAATGAGCAACTTGGAGGAGAAGCTGTCAAACTTATCATGTGTTGTCAAATTGTCTTCAATTTATGGTGACCCTATGAATGAAATCCCTTCAAAATGTCCTATTCATAATGGTCCTGCTTAGCTCTTATACATTCAAGGCTGTGACTTCCTTCACTGAGTCAGTCCATATCATATTTGGCCTTCTTTTACTTCCTCTGTCTTTGACTTTCCCTGGCATGATTGACTTCTCAAAATGAAAGCAGGCGTGGTGGCAACTCCAGGCTTCTCCTATAGGCTGAGCGAATGGGAAGGTGAGAAGCATAAAGCCACCTTTTGGGGGGTAGGGTAGAGATGAAGCAAACAGCTCTAAGTTGCAGTCAAGGGGTTTCGAGCTCAGCATCCCTGTGTAGCTGTGGGGTCCCAAAGAAACATACGTGTGAGAGCGAAACTCCCCCAACCTTTCCACTCTGCTAACAAAGAAGGGCCATATTTCAAAAAGAGCACCATCAAAGAGAGCTAAAACGACAACGCTGCCGCCTCCGCAGAAGAGCGACCACTCCAGCCCCAGCTCCTGAAGAGCGATGTGGCTCTTCTCCGTTCTCTTCTTCTCATCGCAGTAATCCAGCCCAGCCTCCCAGGAGCCTAAGCCCGCGCAGCCTCTCTGAGGCAGGGAGAAGAAAAAGGCGATCTAGAACTCCCTCATTCGAGCCTTAGACTCCGCTCGGCCTGGTCCGGCCTCCCTACTCAGCCCGCCTCCGCTTACGATACCTGAGGCCCCCGCGTCAGGCCCCAGCCGCTGAGCTGCGCATGCCGGAGCTGACTCAAGATGTTGACCGGCCCTCTGCGAGCTCCGCGCCGGCCTGGCCCGCGAGAAGCCGGGCCTGTTTCCGACGCTGCCGGCGAGAACGTCGTCCCTGCTCCTCCTGTCCCTGCCGCCGCCATATCCACTCCTGCCCCTGGCCAGAGACAAACAGGAAGCGCCCCTCCTTTCGGCGCTATGTAAGGAACGCCTCCCGGTCTGAGCCACAGCGCCACCAGTTGGCACGCCGCAGCCAGCGCCCTCCTTATTGGCAGGATGGGGCTCGCACCTCCTCCCCCAGGGGCTGACGGGAAAAGTAGTCTTCGGCTGAGGACTGTTCCGTGCCCTCAGAGAAAAGGAAGTCCGAAAGGGAAGATGCACTGAGCGGTCGCAGCCAGCGGGGGACGTAGCTGTCAACTCCTCGTTAAACCGAGTGAGGACTTCCGGCGTCTTGTGATCTGTGTCGTCAGCACGAACGCACGTGGGACTCTCTCTGCATCCACTCTGAAATTCGCGAGGCTTGTTTTATTTACTCAGATTCCGGACCGTCCAAATCCAAACCAAGAACATGCCCATGAAATGGAGAGGACCATAGCTGTATGATAACGAACTTACTAGGGTTTGCATAGCGTTTTAAAATATTTGAAGCGCTTCATATCCATTATCCAAATAAGGTTCACAACGACCCTGTAAGGCAGGGACGGGGAACTTCTAGCCCGATGGCAGCTTAGTTTCAGAGAACAGTTTCCCGCCTGCGGTCTGCTGGTGGGTGAGTCCAATGAAAAAGAAGCAAGCCAAAGTACAAAAATATATACAATATTGCACCAAAAAATGGTTTTGCTGGTGAAGACTTAGGACAGACATTTCAACCTTCCAAACTGCGGAAAAGGCTATTTAAAACCAGGAAAACCAATTGGTGAGAGAAAGGCGGTGGAATTAGGGAAAAGATGTACCTTCATCTGGAGAAGCAGGAGAACTGAATTTGACTCGAGGTTCAACATTCCTGCTGTAAAATAAGCCAACTTATTATCCTATGTTTCTGCTTGGCTACTGAGGTGGAGATGATAGTGAATAGCTCACCTAAGGCAATTTATCTTTCAGTCTTGTACAGTTACCTGAGAGTAAGCCTCTCATCATGGAAATTCCTATGTCCACCCACAGTGACAATCAAGTGAATGGTCCTCCATAAATACTAGATTGCTGCATGATCTTCTACATATTCACTCAGAACTAAGTACTAATTACATTAGTTTGATGGGCTTACTCGTAAAGACTTACCAAAGATGAACCTGCATAGCTGTGGTTTTGTTTTGTGTTTTTTTATTTTCTACTTTTTCCTGCAGCTGTATTTGAATCATTTCTTACATGCAGAAATCTCAGTTGATAACTGGGGAAATAGGTGCACATCTTTGACCTGTAGTCAGCATATACCAGCAGTTCCAGTCTCTAGAGTAGAAAATATGAACTATATGGGACATTTTGTAGGGATTTCCATCAGTAACTTTGCACATGTAGTTCAGTATGGAAAGAGAAAGCTGCTGCTTGGATTTACCTTTATTACACAGATTAGTATTAATAAAGGAAGTCCATACACTTTATTTAGCCCCAGCCTGTTAAATAAAAATATCCATGTCGATGCATTTCAAAGCTACATCTTGGTTCAACAGTACCAGTATAATTGTCTCAACCTTTGTCTCTTATTTACTCTAAAGTGATAATCAATGCAACATTGTACTTAGCCAGGCATGTTTTGCTTCAGAAAGCTAGGGAGAGAACACTAATCATTCACTATACTATAGGGCAGACTACCTCAAACCTGTTGCTATCCAAATGCTTTGGACATCAATTCCCATCAGCTGTAGCCAGCATGGCAAACAATTAGGAACACTGGGAGTTATAGGCAAACATAGGGAGGACACCAGGTTAAATTCCATTCTTAATAAGAAACAAATTGTATACTAATACTAAATATTTTGATACAGACGCTTGCTGAAAGTCTCAAATAGCGTTGCTATCAAATTCTAGAAGTTGTGATTTGGCAAGGGGCTGAAAAGAGACATGCTGAAAGATTTCTGCCTGGATTTAAACTGTGTTCCCTATTGAGCCAGGCCACATTATATTGCTTGTATGCCAGGGTCACAAGCCTTCAGGCTACATGCAATGACATTACGTAGCATACAGTTGAACACTTCTGTGTTGGATGGATCAGTTTCTCTCTGAGTTCCTGCCAAAGGATAGCAAAGAACCAAAAGCCATCCTGGACTCTGAAAAATAATTTATGGGTGATTGCATGCAGTTGTTCTCTTGGGAGGATTCATCCTGCTTTAGATGTAAAAATAACTACTCCTTTATATTGATGAAAATCCTAAAATGGAACATTGGAAGAATATGTGGGCGGAAAGAAAAAGTAAATCCATGTCCCTCCTCTGTAATTAGAATCACCCATAATCATAAAATGGGAGCTTTTCTCTTCTTTCTAGACAGAATTCTAGACAGGATGTTTAGAAAGAACAATAAAGAGAAAAAGTTATTTATACATTGCAAATGTATAGTTTCTACTAGTCTCATCTCTAGCCACCCCCATTAGCTCATTTATCAGTTAAAATGCCTTAAAGCTATAGACATTGTACAAAAATAGGCGAGTCCATAATCCAAGAAACAAATCAAAAAGAAATGAAGGAAGATGGGGGAAATACTGTGCTAGCTGGACTAGAGTATGAGGAGCGGGAAAGAGTTAGCATATGCAACAATTAATAGGAAAATAAGTAAAATAAAAGGCCAGCCAGAAAATACAAGAGATGCAAGAGAAAGGGTATTTTGAAAAATGACATAAAGTGCTAAGCCTTACTTCATGCTTGTATACAAAGTAGCATTTCTCTCTCTGTTTCAAGATCAATCAGAAATAAAAGTTTTAGATAGAGATTTTTAAAAACATAGTTAACACAGATGAATGGAATTGCCAAATGAGAGAACTGGCTTCTGTGTTCTGTTGGGTTATCACCAAGAGCACTTTACACTAGGTACATATTAGTAATTCTAAGTTAAATTAAAATATATTATCGGTACTGTGACTATTGTCCACAGAAGTAAAATGCTATATTGAAAAGCTACAGTACATGGATTCAAATCCTTCCTTTAATACAGGGGTCTCAAACTCGCGGCCCGCGGGCCAATTGCCGAGATGGGCGGGGCACAGGGGAGGGGCCCTGCGGCCTTCAAAGCGCCGGCGTGCCTGGGCCGGCCATGGGATGAGCGGCCCACCCCCACCGCGGTGGTGGAATACTTGATGCGGCCCAGCCTCACCCAGACTCTACTTCCAGCGGCCCCCAGGTAAGTTGAGTTTGAGACCCCTGCTTTAATAGAATGAAGGCTCTGCAAAAAATAGATACATGGCAATGCCTTTGCAAAAATAATCACATGTTTATCAGAAGCCAACACTGTTTCATTTGGGAGGTCCCAAGTCAACAGATAATTACCCTTCTCTTTAAGTTGTATGATAGGAATGACTGGAGCTCTATTAACATCACCATCAATTTAACATTTATATAGAACTTTACAGGGAAGTGTATATATATTAACAATCTTTGCAATAGCCCTTTAAAATAGGATGACATGGTATGACAGATAAGAGGGAAAGGCTGGTAGCATACTGCAGGCATAGGGAAATGCTAGTCCATCAGCTTTTTCTTTAGGCCCCAACTTCTCCCTCTAGGCAAAAGGACTTACCTTCAACAAACAGCTGATC